TGCAGAGGCGTTTCGGATGGCTGAGTTGCAAATCTTGGGAAGTTTTCCCCGGGGAGGGTCAGTGCCGCTGGATGCGTTCTCAGATGGAGGGAGGATGGTTTTGATTATATTCTAACGGAGCAGAGCTATAAATAGCAAATTCTTCTGGGAGAGAAGCAAAGGCAGAGATACGACTGGGAGCCAGAGCCAGTCCTGACTTCCCCCGAAAATTTTGGGGCTTTTTTTTTGTCTTGGCTTCATTTCCCTTTCCCGTGCCTCAGTTTCTCCAYCAGGAGGAAGAAACRTGARCAGYCATTAATTTATTTTATTTTACAGTGGGTACAAACAGCSTGGGGAGAAGGCGATAGCAGAGGTTTTGTGAGGACCCAGAGGGATCCAGGGTGGGAACTGTTGAAAACTGAGGGGGAAGGAAAAGGAGCAGCAGAGACAGAGATTAATCAGATGGTGTAAAATCAGTATTTTGGTGACTCTCAGACGTGGTGGATGGAAAGCCAGGAAGGAGCAAGAGGGTCTTGGGTAGCACAGGTCATGCTCTAAGGGTGCAGTCACAGAATCATGGAATGGTTTGGGTTGGGAGGGACCTTAAAGCTCATCTCATCTCCTGCTGATTTTGAACCAAGGAAGGATTGTAATCAATTTTAAGCCAAAAATTCCCAAACTCAGATCTTTTTTTCCTATCAAAAGTGGACTCAGCTGAAGAACTTTTCCATTGCATCCCAAAATCAATTCCCAGCCCCCTGCGATTCTCTGTTCTTTCTGGAGGGGTTTCTCCCATCTGGAGGGAGATGCTTGGCAAAGGGTTAAACGCTGAGCAGGAAGTGCATCTCTTCAAATCCTCCTCTCCCTCCTCCACAAAAATAACACTGAAACTCAAAAATCCCAACCCCAGCAGAAATCTGAACTKGTTGGGAAGGATCCCACCAGGGCTGAGCCAGGAAGCACAGAAGGGTTAAAATATCCYGGGATTAAAGGAATGGGGAGGGAAGGGGCGAGGAAAGGCCATGAGGGAAATGATGGTTTATCGGCTGAGTGGATGAGGCTGAACAGACAAACCCTTGGCGTGGGAGCCCAGAGTCAGAATTCAGTAGGATTTGCTGCCTCGGGACTGGGTGTGATAATGGAAGGCTTGCAAAAATTGGGAAAACTTGGATTATTGACTGAGGGACCCGGATAAAATGTGCCATGAGGTGGTAAAAGGGGGAAGCAGCTGCTCTGCCTCTTCTTCAGCAGTTGGCTGTGACCCCTGGAACATCCAGCAGCATCCTGCATCCAGGTGCAGAGCTGGAATTGTGTTTCTGCCTGGAAAAGGAAACCACTCTATTTTTATTAAGTTTTTTTTTTTTACCTGTTTTCTTACTGATTTTTCTTGTCTGGCAACATGGAACAAACCCATTGCAGCCACAGAAAGGAGCCAAACCAAAGGCTTTTCTCYCTCCCATCCCAAAACCTTGTTTCCTATTCCCCAAATTCCTATTTTGCYCAATCTTTCTACTTTTAYGTAWTTTTTTWAATTATTATTAAAGTTTTKGTGCCAAAATCCAACAGTAAAAGCTGCCGCAGAGACAGAGCAACAAGGAAACTTTTCCTAAGGGAAAACTCGACATCTGAACCAAAGCAGAGGGGGAAAGGAAGGTAAAGGAGGAAAAGAGAAGGGAGAAGAGGCTCGTGGTTCTSGCTGTACCGAGGGATGTTCTGGGTGTCCAGAGCCCCCTGCTCGGCTTAGCTGGGGTTTARGCCAAGGAGGAAAGGCGCAGGTTAAGTCAGAGCACGCAGATTGCGTTGTGTCATTTCCCAGCTTTAATCGGCGGAAGCGAAACAAGAAGGGAAATTAATGGAACGCAGCCGGAGCTGCGATTCTTCCCTGAACAATGCCCCGTGCCCAGGAGATGGCATCCGCAGGATTCCTGCGGAAGAGGCTGCAGGGGACATTGTTTGGAGTTTTCCTTGCAGGAGAATGAGGATGGATGGAAAATCCGAGCCCTGGTGGCACCGGTGCCCAGCGCTCAGTCCAGAGATGGGTGGAATGAGCCGCCCGTCCCAGGAGGATCCAGAAGGAGCGGCTTTGGAACCGTCCAGGCTGTTCTTGCCGRCCGGAGGAATTTTTAATTCTAAATAAAGTTTTCCTGCACTTCCCAGCTCCTCTGTAAACAGCGGCAGCGCGGGGGTGGGGGACAGAATCAGAATGAGAATTGTGAGGGGCTCCGAATAGAGAAAAAATTACAGTTTAATGAGGAATTCCTTGAAAATAAGAGAGGGGAGGGGAGGGGAATGAGATGCTGGGGATTGGTGATACTCGGGACAGGTCACTCTGCGGACAGGTGACGCTGGGCACAGACCGTGCGTGGTGTCCCCGCTGTGTCCCCAGTGCCGCCCCTGTCCCCCGTGTCCCCCGGTGTCGCTCTGTCCCCGCTGTGTCCTGCTGTGTCCCCTGTCCGGTCCTACCCCCCCATGGCAGAGTCCTCCGGGCCGGCAGGGGGCGCCGTTCCCGCGGGGGGCGCTGTTTCCGCAGGGGGCGCTGTTCCCGCCATGGCCGCGGGGGGCGCTGTTCTGTTCCCGCCATGGCCGCTGGGGGGCGCTGTGCTCTCCATGGCCGCTGGGGGGCGCTGTGCTCTCCATGCCCGCAGGGGGCGCTGTTCTGTTCCCGCCATGGCCGCCGCTGTGTTCTGGGGCTGCGCCGCCATCGCTTTCGGCCCCGCGGCCGCGCTGCTGCTGCTGACGGTGGCGGCGGAGCCGCTGCGCCTCATCGTGCTGGTGGCGGGGTGAGGGGCCGGGCCAGAGCGGGGCTGGGGCGGCTCCGGGAGCCTGGAGGCCGCTGAGAGGGGTCTGACCGGCTTTCGGGGTGCTCTGGGGTGGCGCTGGCGGGGCCGGGGGACACTGCGGGGCTGGGGCGGCTCCGGGAGCTGTGCTCGGGGTGAGGGGGTGGCTCGGGGGCACTGAGAGCACCGACAGAGCAGCTCTGGGGCGGCTCTGGGGCACTGAGAGCACCGACAGAGCAGCTCTGGGGCAGCTCTGGGGCACTGAGAGCACTGACAGAGCAGCTCTGGGGCAGCTCTGGGGCACTGAGAGCACTGAGAGCACCGACAGAGCAGCTCTGGGGCAGTTTTGGCTCCAGCCCCGCTGTCCCGAGCAGTTCTGCCCGAGCAGTTCTGTCCCGTTCCCATCCCCTCAGGGCGTTTCTGTGGCTGCTGGCGCTGCTCTTCGCCTCGCTGCTCTGGGCCGTGTCCCTGCGGCTCCGCGGAACCGAGGACGCGGCGCTGCTGCCGCTCGGAGCCGCCGCTGCGGTGCTGCTGCAGGAGCTCTGCAGGTTCGGCTGCTTCAAACTGCTCAGGTGAGACCCGCCCGGGGAGCGGGGSTGTTCCAGGGCTGGGGAAACAGAAACCCCCAAAGTCTGTTCTTGTTAAACCCGGGAACGAGCCGTCTCTGCTCTCCTGTGATGTGAGGTTCATGTTCTCTCTCTCTGGCTCAGGAGGGCGGATGAGGGGCTGGCGATGCTCCGCGGGGATGGCAGGTCCCCGCTGTCCCTGCGGGAGATGGCTTACGGTGAGAACACGAGCTCTGCTCCGTTCTGAGCCCTGTGGAGGCTGCGGGGTCTCTGATTCTCACCCACCCGCAGTGTCCGGGCTCTCCTTCGGCATCGTCAGCGGCGCCTTCTCCCTCTCCAGCGTCCTGGCGGGCTCTGCGGGGCCGGGCACTGTCGGGATCCACGGGCACTCCCCGTATTTCTTCATCACCTCCGGTGAGCCAGGGGACATGGCAGGGACGAGAAGGACAGGAAGGTTCTGGATCTGAGTCTCCTTTCTCCCCACAGCCTTCCTCACCATGGCCCTGGTGCTCCTCCACACCTTTTGGGGCGTCATCTTCTTCCACGCGTGCGAGCGGCGGCGCCCCGGGGGCCTGGGGCTGGTGCTGGGCGGCCACTTGCTCACCTCGGGGCTGGTGAGAGCCAGCGGGGACAGCGGGGACACCGGGACCCCACCCAGAGCTGCTGCTGCTGCTGTCCCCTCCCTCCGTCCCTGCCAGGCCATGGGGACACGTGGGGACAGTCCCACACCCGGGTACCCCCGGCAGTGCCTGCGCTGGAGGAGGGCAGTGAGAGATTTGGGGGCACACGGGGATTTGGGGTGCACACGGGGGATTTGGGGTGCACATGGGGGATTTGGGGGCACACGGGGGATTTGGGGGCACACGGGGGATTTGGGGGCACACGGGGGATTTGGGGGCACACGGGGGATTTGGGGGCACACGGGGGATTTGGGTGCACACGGGGGATTTGGGAGCACACGGGGGATTTGGGCACAGGGGGGTTTTGGGGTGCACACGGGGGATTTGGGGGCAGCTCTGCAGGGGTTCCAGCTGGGTTTGCACAGGGCAGGCACCCCTTTCCCTGCCGTGGCTGTTTGGAGGGGTCAGGAAGGTGTGACCGTGCCTCTCTCTGTGTCCCCAGAGCTTCCTGAACCCGTGGTACGAGGCCAGCCTGGTTCCCATCCTCATCCTCACGCTCTGCACCGGCCTCTGCGCCTTCAGCACCGCCGGCGGCTCCTTCCACAACCTCCTCCAGTGCCTCTCCTGTAAGGGGGACTGGGGTGTCACTTTGGGGGACAGGGAGGCCAGAGGTGCTGGGATGGGGACAGATGAGTCCTGGTGAATGGGGCCACGTTCCCAGTGGCTCTCTCCCCCAAATGATCCCATGCTCAGAAATGCCCCTTTGCCCCAGGTAAGCAGCAGCCCCAGGGCCGGGTCGTGCTTTACTCAGCGCTGCCGGTGCCTCCTGAGSAGTGAGGAACCACAACCCCACAAATGGATGTTCTGACAGTGCCTTCACCCCTCCTGCTCCGGGGGATTTGTGTCTGACCCCCCACTGTTCCTGGGGGCCTTCAGGGCCAGGAGAGTTTGGGTTCTGGTGCTCCTGAGATATTCGGGGTCTGACCGGTGCTTCCAGGGGGTTTGGGTCTGATCATCATCCCCTTTTGTTTGTTTCCAGATTCTGTTACACTTTTCCCTCAGTCTGAGGGGGAGGGCAGGGTGGGCAGATGCCCTGGGGGGTGGTCCAGGCCCAGGGAACTGAGGGCAGTGTCCCCCATTCCCTTGTGTTTGTCACCTGGGGGGTCCCTGCCCCTGGTGCTGCTGCTGGGGGTGGGTGATGGGTGATGCTCTGGGGTGGGGGGCACTGGGATTGGGGGCTCTGCCCTTCCCACCCCTGTTCAGCTCCCGGGGGGCTGGAGGTGCAGCAGGAAGGGAAATCATTGTTTTTATTCACAGTAAAACCCTTTTACAAGAGCTTTGGACACTGTGGCTGCTGGGGGAAGGGGAGGGGGAGAGGTCTGGGGGACCCAGGGGGTCCCAGTTTCTGGGGGGTGATGGGATCCAGCCCCAAACCCCTCCAAGATCCCCATTCCCTCCCCATGAAGAGCCAGCAGGAGGGTGCAATGGCTTTATTTGCAGTGGGACTCAGGCAGGCTCTGGGGGATGGTTGAGTCTGTCCCAGSCCGGGGTCAGCGGGAGTGTCCGGTGTCCAGCGGGGATCGGCGCGAGGAGGCTTTGAACACCACGTCCTGTCCCTGCGCCCGCCTGGCGCTGGGGACACAAACCAGAGTCAGGGGATTGTCCCTCCTCTCCTGGAGATTGGGGTCCCTCCCAGGGCTTTGGGGTCTCACCGTATCCTCCTGACCCCAAAGTGCACGGCGAGGAACAGAG